GCTTCAACTCTTGGATAGCTCTGAATATTAGAGATTTGAATTCCCTATCAGGTAGTTCTAGTGCCTTTTCTTCTCCTGGAAAGTCATCTGGTGTTTTATTTTGGATGCCTACTGGAACCATCCTGTCCTGTTTTTGTATATGTTTTGATATTGTTTGCTGTCTTCAGGATATTCAGTAGTTATTTTCCTCATTTATTGATTGTAGAGTTGTTTGTTTCATCCTGCTTTTTCGTTTTATTTGATTATGTCTGGCGGGCTGTGCATTCTTTGTTGTTTACTTGTCTGTAGGCACAATACTTTTTGCCTCCTCCAATGGGCAGGGTCAGTTGCTCAGGTGTGGTACAACAGGGAAGGTCCAGCTGAAGAGGAGTTGCTGGGATGGATTGTTTGTGGTATGTACTAGGGCTGACAGGGTGGGCCAGGAATCAGTGCAGGGCAGGTTCCAGTAAGCTGTGCCTATGCTGCTTGGGGGTATGATGTTCAGAGCATGATGCAGGTAGGCAGGAAGGAGGGGGGAGATTGTGATTTGTGGAGCTAAAATGGGTATGGGAAAGATGAGAGAGAGGAGAGAGGAACAGGAGCCAAAAACATACAAACAAAAAAGAGTGCTAAGGGAGCTTGCCATTGGAGTGGAGAGATGAGACACTGAGAAATGGAGAAAAACAAAAAGAAAAAGGGTAAAAGAAAAAATGAATAAATAAAAATTAGAAAGAAAAAAAAAGCAAAGCCCCTAGGGATCCCACCGGTGCATCTGTGAGGACTGGGGAAGTTGCTCCCAAGCCATGAAGTACAGCCTGGCTAGAAGGGGTAGAGGTGTCAAACAGTGCCAGGTATTCAGGAGACAGGAAGAGAAGGTAAGTATAGAGACATAAGAAACTGAGAAATGAAGAAGGACAATAAGGGAAAAAGAGATATAAGAAAACAAAACAAGGAAACAAGAAAAAAGAAATGCTTCAGGGATCCCACTGCATGTCTGCGCAGACTAAAGGAGTAGTTTCCAAGCCACGTGGTACTGCCCGGCTAAAAGGGGCTCCCAAGCCGAGAAAAGGAAAGGAAAACAAACAAATCAAAACAGAGTGAATCAGAACAAACAAACAAAGAAAACAGCCCCAGGGATCCCACCAGCGTGGCATCACAGGCCGGGAAGCAGTTTCACAGTCAAGCGGTGTTTCGCAGCCTTTCAGGAAGTAGCAAAGATGGTACACAGAGCCAGGTATTTGAGAGAAAGGAGGAGGAGGTGGTGAGAAGTAAGGAAGAAATCAAAAGAAGTAGAAAAAAAGCAAAACCAGCAGTCAACAAATGGCGCTCAGGGAGCTGCTAGTGCGGGCTGGTGGAAGCCAAGCAGCACCAGGGTGAAGCTGGTGGTTCCTGGCCAAGAGACTGTGGCTGCAGGAAGCAGAGGAGGCTGAGTGGGTGAAGAAGGGTGGGGGAAGGGAAAGCGTATATTGTTAGTTACTGGTTATTCTGTTCCCTGCTGGAAGCTCTGTGAAACTGCTTTCTCATATCCCCTGTTCGCCAGTCTCCCATCGGAGTCCAAGATGGCGGATCTGTGCTGCGTTAGCTGATAGGGGACCTCTGCATGTATCTCTCTTCGCTCTCTGTTCTCTGTCAGTTTCTTATTCCATTCGGTGCTTGGCTGGGTTCTTTATCTCTTCATTTGATGCTTAGGGTTTCAGGATTGATGTCTATCTCTGTTTGACTTGGTTTTTCGGATCTTTGCTCTGGAGGGACAACGTGGTGCTTCTTTCTATAGCACCATGTAGCCTGGAAGTCCCCTCTTACGCTTTTTAAAAAATATTTTTCTTGGCCTAATATTCTACAGGTAATAGTAACTGAGTATAAACATTGAGTGAATGAATGGAGAACAGTTCGTAGCTTTTTTGTTCTGACGTAGAACAATTGTTGTTCGTTATACTTTGTAGTACTAAATAAAGCCAACCAGACTCTCAAAACGTAACACTCACTTTACAAAACAAGTTGATATGACAAGAATAGATGATGTAGAAATTTGCGAAAGGATAACCAAGTATATATGTCACCATTTTTCATGTTCTATTTTTTTAAGAGAGAATTGGTTACTGAGTCTTTCCTTTCCAGCTCAAGCAGAAAGAGGATGATTTTTAAAACATCTTTATTGAGATACAGTTGGTGTAACTGTAAACCACACATATAGAAAGTGTACAACTTGGTATGTTTTGACATATGTGAAATCACCAGAGCCAAGATACTGAACTTATTTATAACATCCAAAAGAAAAATCCTTGAGAAAAATTTATCAGCTTTTGATTAATCTTAAGACTTCTGTGTTTAGATAATACTCAGAAGTATTTGTGGAAAAGAATTGGGAGCAATCAATGGCAAAGCAAAAGAGAAAAATAAGAGCTATCAGCAAGCATAAACAGAACAAAACAACAATAAAAAGAACACAGAAATCCCAACTAAAGTATAATTAAATTTGTATGAAACCTACTGATACAAAATTTGTGATTAAATTTGGCATTTACTCTGAAGTTTTCTTTGATTCAGTGTAGATATTGCAAGTTAATAGTTTTCAAAAATTGAAAAAGGAATATGTATGTTTTAAACGAACTGTTGTAAAGTTGGAAATAAGTAAAATATTTTATGTCTCACATTTTAATAATGGAGGCTTGACTTTCAGTTAGGCTAATTGGAGAGAAGAAAGTTAAATATAGTTGGGGATTACAACTTCATTCTCTTTTCAAAGAAATAATCATATATTTAAAGTCAGTAATGTTCCTAAGCATGATTTGTAATTTCTTACAGATTTGTGGGATCACTGGGTACTATCATCATAAAATGTAAAGATTTTCGAATTATTCAATTGGATATTCCTGGAATGGAGGAATGTTTGAATATAGCCAGTTCCATTGAGGTAAGTATTTTGGAAACAGAATCTGATGAAATAATAAAAAGAAGCATTTTATATCTGACTCAGTGCAGCTCTTATATTTCTTTATTAGGTATTTGACCATATTCTATGACTTACATATTGAAGACAAATGAAAGTCTGACCCTGATTCATTGTTATAAGAGTGTAATGGAACTTTACTGACTTACAGAAATTTTTAGTGTTACTCATTTTATATGAGTAAGCCAACTTTGCTATGTATTAGGAAATTCACATGAGTTCGTTTTGGTCAAATAATAATGTTTTACTTGATTTTCTTTTGAGTATGTGTAAGTACTTATTTGGAGAAACCATTAGAGGAAGTAAAAAGGTTCTTGGGACAAATTTTAAAGTTTTGCTTGGTATTTCATGTTCACTGTACAAATTTTTATATTTTCTGTGTATCAGAGGTAGTTTGTAAACTTTTTTTTTCTGCCGCAGTCAGTTTAGTCAGATAAGATCCTATGTGGAATTTTAAACCAATAAAACAGAGATGGTTAGAATTGCTTTTATTCAGGTTACAGTGGGCAGATACTGGGGGCGCTGAGAGGCCCCATCTGCCCTCGAAGGCTTCCTCAGAGACGTTAAAAGCCACTAGTGAGAGTTAATCTTTAAGTACAGTGTTTACTTCCCTACCAGGTCAGCAACTAGAAACGGGATTTTTTTTTTTCCTTAAATGTGCCAATATACCTTTTTGTAATAGGTGCACAGTTTGACTCTTGATTTTACTACTTGCTGACTTGTGGCCGTGGGTAAAGTACTTAACCTCTCTGACCATTAGTTTCCTACTTTATAAAATGAGGATAATACCAACTACCTTTAAGATTTGTTGTAAGAATTATGTTAGTTGATGTATGTACAACGCTTAGTATAATACTTGAGGGCCTCCTATCATTTATGTAGTGCAGTTTATGTTGAGGTCTTTTCTGTGTTACTTCTTTTATGAAGGAAATAATTGTTACCAATGGTGGTAGCCTTTGTTTGTTTTTATTAAATCTGAATTTCCATATGTTAGGTTTGCTTAAGATAGGATGTGTTTGCTTTATTTTTCTATAAACAATATTGAATATCTATTGAATTACAAATAATATAAATTTTACTTGGATAATTTGAATTTTAAATTGAAGAATTCTCACTATTTTTTCCCCATTTTTGCCAACTAATTTGGTATGCACTGACACAAATAAAAATTGACATTAGGCCAATTCCCAAAATGTGAGGATTAATCATATCCCTGCTTTCCCACTTCTGTGTTCTCTCTGACACCAGCCATCATGTGGTACTTTCTGTCTCTGACCCTAACCATCCAGAGTTAGGTCAGACCTTACAAGTTAGAAGTACTCTCTTTCAGATTGACTGCCTGCACAGCCCTTCTCTGTCCCTGAGCCACCCGGAGCTGTCTTCACAAGTTAGAAGGACTCTATCCTTCCAACTGCCAAAGAAAGACACCTGCCCCTGCTGGCTCTCACTGCCCCTTTTAGGTTTGATAATTCACTAGAAAGACAACTCACAGAAAGGGCTGTACTCACTATAATAATTTTTTTTTTTAATAATATTTAACTGTACTTTCAGTGAAAGTTTACACAGCAAATTAGGTTCCCATTTAACAATTACTGCACAAATTGTTTAGTGACATTGGTTACATTTTTTTACAATGTGTCAACATTCTCATCATTTCCATTCTGGATATTTTGTTTTCAGTAATCTGATTTCCTTGCCCCCTTACCCTTTCATCTTTGCTTTAGAGTAATTGTTGACCATTTGGTCTCATATAGATGATTTTTTAAAGATGTGCAGTACTCACTGGTAATACTCTTTATTTTATGAGTCAATCTGTTATTTTAGCTAAAAGGTGACCCCAGGGTAGTTTCAGTTCACAGTATGGAGTATCTCAGGGCGATAGTCTCAGGTAGTCTTCTAGTTTCAACCAGTCCAGTAAGTCTGGACTTTTTAAGTATTTTAGTTCTGTTCCACAATTTTCTCACATTGTATGAGAATCTATCTAATGTTGCCTTGATCAGAATGGTCATTAGTGGTAGCCAGGTACCATCTGGTTCTTCTGGTCTCAGGGTAGATGAGGCCATGGTTCATGTAGACTGTTAGTCCTATGGACTAGTTTCTTCTCTGAGTCTTTGGTTTCCTTCTTTCTCTTTTGCTCCAGATGAGAAGAGACTGATAGTTGTATCTTAGATGGCTGCTTGCAGACTTTTAAGACCTCAGACACTACTCAAACTAGGATGTAGAACATAAACTTTATGTACTATATTATACCAATGGACCGAGTTATTCCACGAGACTATGACCGTAAGACTTCAAACCCAGAAAATCAATCCCACGAGGTGTTTGGTTATGGCTAAGAAGTCTCCATAACTGTGCCCCCTATGTGCTTTATTATATATATGTAAATATATGCATATATACACATATATACACCTGTACATATCTATGCATACATACATATGTAACCACATATGTTTTTTGGTTATTGTTGCAAAATTATATATGCCCTAGCATTTACCAAACATGTCCTTTTTTTGTGGGTGTGTACTTCTTAGTGACATCATTTACCTGGGTCAATGTGTGCACTTCACCCACCTTTGGTGTTACATTTTGCATCACCAAAAATAACAAGTGTCTACCATCTGAAGAATGATTCCTCCTCCCCTACCCTATCCCTGGTAACCAATGAACACTGGTTTCTGTATATCCTTTTTTGTCTTTTAATTAAAGTGAAATCATACAATATTTGTCCCTTTGTGATTGATTTATTTCATTCAACATAATGTCCTCCAGATTCATCCATGTTATGTTTCATGTACTCTTCATTGTTTTTTTGTTGCATAGTGTTGCATTGTATGTATGTACCACATTTTGTTTATCCATTCATCCATTGATGGGCACTTAGACTGGTTCCATCTTTTTGCTCTGGTTTCTCTTTGTTGCCTTATTGCTCTGGCTAGGACTTCCCTATAACAGTTTTAATATAACCACAAAAGGGTACACATGAAGAGATGCACAGGGGAGGTCTGGGAGGGATTTTTGACATAGAGCTTCATGTCCCCGGTGATATACAATCCTTCAGTGTGCGTCATCAGTTCAGAAGCTTAAAGAAACTTCTGTGTCCAGGGCCTTTTATTATCTTCACTGCATAGTCATGCTTGGGGTCTCATTCCATAGTCATGATCAATTGAATCAGTGAATATGCACGATTGATTGCATCATTCCCCCCTCAGTTTCTGAAGTTGGCTGACCAGGTGTGGTCTTTGGGGCTCCCATTCATTTGCACGTTTAAGTGTTGGCTGGCTGTTTTAGAAAATTTGGAGAAATTCCAAGGGCTGTCTTTCAGGAATCAAAGGCAAAGGCGATAGGGGACATCTACATCTTTTGGCATAACATAGTGCATAAAAATAATGTTCTACATCCTACTTTGGTGAGTAGCATCTGGGATCTTAAAAGTTTGTGTGTGGCTGTTTGAGATATAGCTAGTGGTCTCTTCTTGTCCAGAGTAGAAGAGTGAAGAAAAACAAAGACTCAAGGGAGCAGTTAGTCCAGAGGACCAGCGGACCACATGCACCACAGCCTACATGACCCTGAGACCAGAAGAACTAAATGGTGCCCAGCTACCACTACCAGCTGTTCTGACTGGAATCACAATAGAGAGTCATGGACAGAGCAGGAGAAAAATATAGAAAAAATCAAATTCATAAAAAAAAGACCAGATTTACTGGCCTAATAGAGACTGGAGGAACCCCCAGTGCTATGGCTGTAAGACACCCCTCTGATATGAAACTGCAGCCATTCCCGGAAATCACCTTCCAGCCAAGCAGTAGACCCTTTCAAACCAAACCGATTGCCATCGAGTTGATTCTGAATCACAGACATGTCTATAAAATAATAACACCCAAAAAGAACATGCTGCCTAGAACAAAAAATTATACAGGACCAAAAGTGCAACTTTTGCCTGAGAAGGCAGGAATGGGTCAGAAAACCAGATGAAGGGAAACGGAACCCAGGGCAGAAACGGGGAGAGTGTTGACACACTGTGGGGTTGCAACCAATGTCATGGAACACTTTCTGTACAATTTGTTGAATGGTAGACTAATTTGCTGTGTAAACTTTCATCTAAAACGCAATAAAATATTAAAAAAAAAGACAAAAGCCAAATTGAGTTCTTTATATCACAACACTCACATTTTAAATTATCTGGTTTTAAATCACTACCACTAAATTATAGCAATTAACTGTATATTTTCCAGATAATTACAGAGACACACTGATTTTTTTTTTTCTGTTTTGTAATAACTGATTACAGGCAGTCCTCAGGTTATAGATGAGATCGTAATTGCCTTTAAGTCGAATTTGTAAGTTGGTAGCAGGTGCATATGGTTCTTATTTAGCCTTAATTTAGTGCAAGAAAAGGCTTGATTCCTTTTCAGTGATTTAAAAGCTGCACGTGCAGCAGGTGAAGGTGCTAAAGAATTTGTTGCGAGTAGGGCTTGGTTCAGTAGTTACAAAGTAAGGGCAAATTTACATAATATTAAAAGTTGTCAGTAAGTGGGATGTTCAGAATCTGAGGACTGCCTGTAAGCTGGGCTTTATGTCCAAAAAAAGCTATCAGCTTAGATATTAAAAGGGGGCAGAAAATCTTAAAAATCTGTAACTAGGATTTTGTTTTTTTATTTTACTTTAGGTGAAAGTTTATGGAGCAGATCAGTTTCTCATTAAACAATTAATATACAAATTGTTTTCTGATATTATTTGCCAGCGCTGCAACGTGTTAACACTCTCCCCTTCTTAACCTCTGGTTCCCTATTTGGGTTTTGTTTTGTTTTTATTTTTTTATTTTATTTTAATATTTTATTGTACTTCAGGTGAAGGCTTACAGAACAAATAGTTTCTCATG